ACACACACACACACACACACACACACACACACACACACACACACACACACACTGTCCCTAATTGATTGATAAGCGGGCCAGGCAACTGGGAATTGTCCCAGTTCTCTCTAAGGCCAGTCTGCCTCTGCTCAACACCAACAACACTAGCTTGTCTTGTGTTGTCTTGTCTTGGGCCAAGCAGTCTGGCCCGATTGAAACTACAGCTCTCGAGGATCCAGAAATGAGTGTGGACCTTGGCAATAAGAGCTAATGCAAAAACATCAAACCAGAGTGTGAACCCAGGCCGTGCAGTGCAAAATCGCTTCCAGTGTATCGATTCTCTAAATATAGGGATGCCTGATATATCAACATTAACAGAGGTATCGACTGGTTTTGGTCACTTTTTAAAATAGTACCCGTCCAGTAATTAAAACTGGGCTGATATTAACGTCCAATATTGATTTTATTAGCTTTGCGCTTCTTGGTCGAGTGGTATCTGTTTGATCAGTGATGTTGACGCTGCACAGCCAGGAACTACAGGATGTATCAGAAAAAATGACTCTCAGAAAAATCGCCATAAAATTAACAGATAATTTTGAAAACGTGGGCGTAACCTTTGTTAGAGGGGATCATTCTGCTTCGAATGACACCAAAATCTTAGTTAACACTTCATGCTCCAGTGAGCAGGGACAGTTGGAAATTCACAAAATTCATGTCCTTTGCGCAAGGAAATGTGAGGGTTAAAATACGATCTGTCACATAAAATTAAAAGTTTAGATGGTGTTTTACACACACGCCAAGGCGTTTTAAAAATAATTAACCCTTTCATGTCCCAACGTCGAAACAAAAAAAAATCTCATTTTTGAGTGGATCATAACCAAAGGTTTATAAACACACGTGAAGTGGCCGTGGACAACGAAACGAAGCAGCAGGCGTCTGTCCCACAATAAATATGTCGCGGTCCATTTCAGTCCAGCTGAGTTCTGCTCCACGCCTCTTTTGGATCCGCGCTGCGGGTTCATTTATGAACACATACATGTGAGCGGGACCTGCCCACCTTCACCTGTGGTCTTATGAATGACTCGGGGAGGCTTAAAGCCAGACTGGTCTGTGCAGCAATTGTGCAGATTTGATTTATGAAAGAGGCTTTACTGATATTTTGGGGTTTTTCTTCACAGCTCTCACAATATTTCTGYCATCAACTACTGTTGTTTTCCTTGGCCAAACTGTTGGATGTCTCTCGCTCCATACAAAAGTTGTTTCTTTCTTATTCAGGACATTCCAAATTGTTGTATGCCCAATGTTTGTCCAATGGCTCTGATTTTCCTTCTTTTCTCAGCTACGAAAAGACTTGCTTTTATATAGACAGCTCTCTGGTCTTCATATTGATTTATACTCTTTAACATGAAAAAAATATTTTATAGGTTTAAACCCAGATCAAAATGTAGACTGGTCACGCAAAGCTATTTAATGTTTGAACAATCAACCTTAAAAAGGCAAAAACTGGTCAATAAGAAACACCTGTCAGTAATATGTTTCAATAGTTTTGCTCACTTGAAAAATGGATGGGTTTAAACAACGTATGTTCAGAGTTGTTTAACACATGTATGTAAAAACCAGGAAATAAAAGCTGACATTCTGAACTCTTGCCTCATGATCATCTTTTGATCTTAAAATGTCTTCAGTGCACAACAAAAACAAGGGAATTTGACTTGCTGTTCCAATACTTTTGGAGGGGACTGTGTGACGGGTTGATGTTCTAATCTGCTGTTGATGTTGGGCGACTATGGCTGAGTGTTTAAGGGAGTCATCCTCTAACCAGAAAGTTGTCAGTTTGATTCCTCACAAGTCAGTCATATGTCAAACTGTCCCTGGGCAAGACACTGAACTCCAACTGCCTCTGAACCCATCAGTGTATGAATGTGATCTAAAGCACCAATTAGTCTCTATGGATTGATTTATCTGTATTAGCTTCTTAGAGAGATCTGGTAGAGTGCTGTGTGAACAGGTAAATAAGGGAACAGTGCTGGTTGGATAGAAAGGGTGCTATATAAGTACAGTTCATTTACCATTTCATCTGGCCATTTAAGATGGGTCYGATATGCCAGGTATGCCTGTGTGTTAATTTTGACAAACAATTTTGTTGGTTCTGTGTTTGGTTAAATCATCAGGTGGTACCTGAATGTAATGGTGTGACTGCTCAGAAACCACTTTTGCTTTAATTTTGTTCTGGAGTTTGGCCAATTAAGTCTTTTTTTTTGTTTGTTTATGTGAGAACACTTAATTTTCCAGGGAGTGATGGAGGTTMAGATCATCAACATCTGAGTCATGGTTTACTACTGTGTTAGATAATAGTGTTGAAATACACAMTACAGTGATTAAAAAAGAATGTAGAAAAAATAAAAATATTGATAATTACAACAAAGTTTCAAAACATTACAGTAATCATTTTTAGTCATATTGCCCAGCCCTAAGTTCAAGTATTTTAGTGATCACACATTGTCATCTTACCCGGATAGGTGGCACCTTGGGTTCTTCGTTTGTCGGCTGTGGCTTTTCCGAACCGACACAGTCAATTGTGGTACGAAAGGACTGACGATCGTCGAGTCGCGCCCTCTTTCCGGGAAATCTAGTGATGGCCTCTGTCTCATCCTGCCTTCTCTTTTGCTCTACGGGGGTTGTGGCTGGGCTGGCTGATGGACTGCTCTCTCTGCTGCTAGTAGCAGTACCTCCTGTGATGGAGGTGATCACAGAGGCAGTGTCATCCAGGGTATCAGCAGGAACTGTGGCACTGGAAGATCCCGAAGAGGATGACGAATCCAAGCCTGCAGCAAAAGCCCCCTGTCGATCAGATGAAGAGGGAGATGAAGCAGGTGAGGAGGCAGACGAAGAGGAAGAGGTGGAGGATGAGGAGGGAGAGGTGGTGGAAGCCAAAACAGGCTCAGTTTCCTTGGGAAGCAAACAGGCGGTCACTTCAGGCTCTTCATTGGCACTGGTGGAGGCTGGGCTGGGGCTGGGACTTGGAGCAGGAGATGGGGCTGGTAATGGTTCTGGTTCTGGAGTAGGAGAGGCCACTGGTTCTGTAGAGGCACTCTCATCTGGGAGTTCCACAGCGCAGTCAGTGTGGAGCACAACCTCTCCTTGAACCACAGTGTTACTGGACATTGAAGTGTCAACAGAGACAGTGGCTACATCCAATACAGCGCTGGTTTCACTTTCTGTGGGCTGCAGAGCTGGAGCAGGCTTACAAAGGGTCCGCCGGGCTCTCCGACGTAAGTCAGCCCGTGTGCGTCTCCTCATCCGGCCGTCTCGCCTCCGTCGACCCACACTGCGTCGTTTGGGAGCAACAGTTGCCACCACAGCAACATCAGTTTCCAGCACAGGACCTGCAATTTCACTAGCTTCACTCATCGTGAGCTTTAGGGACTCTTCTCTTGTTAAGCCAGACCTACGGGTACACAAGGTGTGTGTTAGCACCACAGACACTGGGTATGACTGAAGGAAGGCATTCAAGAGCTATCTCGATTACATGTTTAACACTTTTGTTATGATTAATTCTATAGGACAAATATACCAAAACTCATTAATTTGAACATTAATTTGAATTTAGAAGAAATTAGAACTTTCTTACTTCTGCCCATGGTACTCCTCAAAAAACTTCTCCTTCCATGCCTCAACCTTCTTCTCCTTTTCCATTTCCTGTCGAAAGCGTACCTGCATCTCATGGGTGAACTCACCTGAAAAGGTCCAAAACATTTATAAGTTTCACAGAAATCACATCAGTTTTATACAAACAAAACAGAACTTGACGCCAAACCTCACTGTTTTCCCCATGACCATTCAGTGATGAATAACTGTTAGTAGTTTTGTTGTAATCATCACAGGTATTCATTATTTAAATATTCTATTAAAGAGTAACTTAACCCAAAATTAACTTTTTTAGCTGATAAACTGTCTAGAATGTGTCTAAAATGTTATATAGTACTG